GACCATCAGGCTTGCGATGTCAGCTGGAGACCTGCGGGTTTTTGGGTAGGATGTTGCAAGGGGCACAAGAGTCGTCTGCGAGAGGGAGAGGGCGTTGGCAGGGCTGTCAATGGGTAACTTTATTGCAGAATTACAAGGGTTCTTTATGTAACCCACAGTCAAAACACTTGCTTTAAATACAAGCGTGGAGCTGCACTGGGAAAGCCTTTGCCCCGTACAGTTGGTGTATTACTACTCACCGCTTTATTTATGTCGTCTTCAAAGTGTGTTGTACAGCTTACAGAGCAGAGATGTAATGCGGTCCTTGTTCCAAAAAGCGGACCTCCTAATTTTAGATGTGATGCAGCAAACGCAATTAAGAAAAGAAGGGCAGGGATAGGGTAAAGACTAAAAAGGGTTCTAGTAATCAAATCGCAGGCAGGGTCCCAGAAGACCCTTGTGCGGCATGGTTAGGGGACGCTGCTGGATGTGACATGTCTGCAGGAGGTTTTATGGTTTTTGTCATGGGGTTTTGCATTCTAACTGTGAGAGATGCTGTGCCTGTCGTAGCTGCTTGTTGTTGGTAGCCAAACAGTCCCAAATAGTCCCCATGGGAAGGATTTTGTAGGTGGGGAGATAGAGATGGAGCCTGAGGCCCTGTAGGACTGTTGGTGAGGGTTGCGAGTGCTGTTGTATCGGTTTCGAGCGGAGCCCGGACCACACCTGTGGGCTCAGCTAGTGCAGAGATAAGACTCGCCCTGGCACTGGCGTCTGAGTGCCAGACTTCGGCTCCTTTGAGTATTTCTACGTGCGCTACCAAATCCTGCCCTTAGGGTCGGGGCAAACCACCATCTCCCACCCTCGATTGAAGAGGGCCTGGCCTTGCAGCGGTTCCTGACGGTGCCCTGAACCTCCTGGCTCATCTCTGTGCCAGCAGCGGCTCCATTGCATTGCCCCTGGTGCCGTAAGAGGGATCCCAGCCCATCTCGGAGCTGTGCCGGCCCATCCAGGGTGCTCTGGGGAGCGGGGGCAGGTGGGCGTGCAGCACAAGACCCCATATTGAGCGTCAGGGCGTCTGTGCCGTCTGCTGAGAAGTGTGCAGGCTAAGGGGATGCTGCTTTGGTGACAGAGCAGCGGGTGACCAGGAGGGCTTTCGTGCCGTGGAGCTGGAGCATTGCTGGGGTGGCAGGCGAGCCCGTGTGCCGACCCCCACCGGTGGCAACCTCACCCCTCGCCTCTTGTTTTCCACGATGTTTTACATTTCTTTCCATCCCCACGCAGCCAAGCGGCCCTGTTCAGTTTTTCCATCGGCTGGCGTAGAAAGCGCTTTGAAGACGCGCTGGGTGAGGATCAAAAGGCTTTTTGTGTAACGGGTGGGTGTGACGGGTGGGTCGCCGGCCTCCCCCTCCGTTTTGGCTTTCCTTTTCCGGTTGTCGCGGCGCAGAGTGGCGGGACGGCAGCGGCAGCAGCAGCGTGCCCCTTCCCTTGTAGGGATGGGGGGGATGCCGAGGGAAGGAAGAGTTTCTGATGCTGTGGGAATGTGAGCTCGCAAACTCTGTAAAAAGCTGGTGACTCACTGCATAACTATG